CTCATTACCAGTAATAATATTATAACTAATAGTGTAACTAATTACTAATACATTTCAATAACATTATAGTTACTCCCCCTAATAAATAATTAGTTACATTACTTTTGTGGTCTCCTATTGATCTGAATCCGATCACATCCCTGGATTCAGTTTGGAACAGCTGGAAATATTAAATACTAAATCAAACTTAATTTTAATGGTTGTAAGTCTGAATGTTAGTGAGAAATAAGCCGTAATAAGTAATATAAGGTTAATATAAAGTTAATATAAGGTTAATATAACATTAATATAAGGTTAATATAAGGATATAAGGTTAATATAAAGTTAATATAAGGTTAATATAACGTTAATATAAGGTTAATATAAGGATATAAGGTTAATATAACGTTAATATAAGGTTAATATAACGTTAATATAACGTTAATATAAGGATATAAGGTTAATATAAAGTTAATATAACATTAATATAAGGTTATTATAAGGATATAAGGTTAATATAAAGTTAATATAAGGTTAATATAAAGTTAATATAAGGTTAATATAACGTTAATATAAGGATATAAGGTTAATATAACGTTAATATAACATTAATATAACGTTAATATAACTAACGTTAGTACCTTTAATGCTCTGTCCTACCGACACAAGCTGCAGTGATACATCCAACTGTCATTATTAATGATTTTACTTTATCATTGATAATTATTAGTGCTTGGTTCGGGCTCTCACTGGACTCGGGTCAGATCTTCTGGGTCCAATTAAAGCTCTAATAACTACAAGAGTAACTAGTTACTGCTGGCAGCGAGTAATTAGTGAAGTAGTTACTTTTCAGAAGAGTAATGAGTAATAAATTACATGTTTTCAGTTACTAACAAACCCTGGTTGCAGTTAAACGTAGTTTTAATTTATTAAATAAAGATTTATCTTAAATTATCTCCAGTTTGGGTTAAACTGGTAGAACTGGTAGAACTGGTAGAACTGGGCAGCCGTTAGAGGCTCCAGGAGCTAACAGGAGCTAACAGGCTAGCAGCCGTTAGAGGCTACAGGAGCTAACAGGAGCTAACAGGCTAGCAGCCGTTAGAGGCTACAGGAGCTAACAGGAGCTAACAGGCTAGCAGCCGTTAGAGGCTACAGGAGCTAACAGGAGCTAACAGGCTAGCAGCCGTTAGAGGCTACAGGAGCTAACAGGAGCTAACAGGCTAGCAGCCGTTAGAGGCTACAGGAGCTAACAGGAGCTAACAGGCTAGCAGCCGTTAGAGGCTACAGGAGCTAACAGGAGCTAACAGGCTAGCAGCCGTTAGAGGCTCCAGGAGCTAACAGGAGCTAACAGGCTAGCAGCCGTTAGAGGCTACAGGAGCTAACAGGCTAGCAGCCGTTAGAGGCTACAGGAGCTAACAGGAGCTAACAGGCTAGCAGCCGTTAGAGGCTACAGGAGCTAACAGGCTAGCAGCCGTTAGAGGCTCCAGGAGCTAACAGGAGCTAACAGGAGCTAACAGGAGCTAACAGGCTAGCAGTGTCTCACCGACGGGTTTGTGTCCGATCATCGCGTGGAACAGACAGACCTCCACCTCGTGGCTCCAGACCACCGAGTCCTCCCCGGTAACCAACCCCGAGTCCGGAGGCTTCTCGTCGGTCTGATTCAGCGTCACGTCTGCCTCCCCCATATTCAACAGAAACAGGCTGAAAGCAGGCAGGAAGGAGCTAACAGAGCTACCAGAGCTAACAGAGCTAACGGAGCTAACTGATACAGCCGCGGAGTCTCGAGACTGTTGTGTTCCGGCAGCCGGAAGTCTCATTGTACTTCCCGGTTTTGTTTTTTCAAAATAAAAGTCTTCAGCACAGAAATCTGCCCGAAGCAAAATGTAATTTATTACTCGTTACTCTTTTCAAAAGTAGTATAACTTTAATTATTACTCCCTGCCAACAGTAATTACTTACACTACTAACGTTAGTAAAATTACTTTTCTGCTACTAAAACTGGTGAATTGTGTCCCCAAAATTCAAACTGACGAGAATTAAAAGCCAGTTTTGATCAGTAGGAGACAACAAAAGTAATGTAACTAATTATTATTGGGGGTAACTGTCATATTATTAATGAAATATATTTGTAATTAGTGACACTACTAGTTACAGGGGGAAATAATATTACTGTAATAGTGATACCTTATTGCTGAACACTGGTCTGAAGACGTGATTTTAACCCCAAAAACTAATGAATAACAAAGTAAATAATTAACTAAGTAATGTCTGATATGGAAGAGTATCAGAAAGGACAAACAGTGGACACTCTTGAGGGTGGGCGTTGGTGTGTGTGTGGCAGAGGTCAGTGTGATGCTGGAGCGCCGCTCAAGATGGCCGTCATTGGTTTAAAGAAATACAAAACAAGCCACAATGTTTATCCCCGATAGCAGAATGAGACTTCCTCCAGTGCTGACACAGTGCGTATAAGATTAAGTTATTATGGCTTTTAATTGTATTTACAAATATGTTGGTGTGGAGTTCCTCAGGGATCTATTGTAGCTCCTCTGTAGTTCTTACAACAGTTAATTTATCCAGACCTAAAAGTGTCCTTATTACATTCAGTGTTCTTAAATACTTGTTAAAAAGTTGTTGACCTTCAACAATTGTGCTTCTTTTTATATAAAGTCATGTTACTTTGAGCTCTTTAATCATATTAATGTACTTAAATAAGAATAAAACTGTAAGAATGAAGGTTTTGTGCATCAAAGAACCAGACTGACTCAGAGTTATGCTTCTCTATACGGTGATCAAAACACCAAAAACTTTACTGCAAATAAAATAGATACAGTCGGGGCCGTAGAACGACCTCCTGCACAAATGCAACCAGAGAGAGAAAGAAAAACATTTCAGGTACATTATATTTAAAATGATGAGGGGCTACTGAACGTCACTGAGCTGGATATGAACATGATATTTCTGTTATTTTCTTTTTTTACATCAAAATACAAAACTGTGCATCTCTTAATAAAGCATGAACATCAATAACATTGAGAATAATAATGCGAGGCTGAATACGTCCAGTCAGAGCGGCTTTTTCTCAAGCGTCTAAAAACAGATCTGTTTCCAGTTCTTTTCAATCTGAATAGTGACCTAAAAATTATAAAAATATAATAATAAAAAAAAAAGTGGTAAAAAAATCTGAGTTAACCTAAATTCAAACTTTTATTTTGAAAATCAGACTTTTAAGCAAAAACAACTCAATAAACTCCTTAAAGAATTTCATTTTAAAAAGGGGGGCCACTCAATTATAGACCTCAAGCTCAGTTTATTCATTATGGGTTGTATGCCTTCTATGAAGAGTGCATTATGGGAAATGTAGTTTGCAGCTGTTTTGAGGCAAACTACTCGGGATCTCTTGGCTTCTGCCCCTTCAATTTGGACCATTCTGGTTTTAATCCGTCTCGTGAGTCGACTAACTTTACAGTGTGGTGGAGGAGCTCTTTAATGCCCAAAGAACAACAAGAACAACTGATGTTTGACACAAAAATCAGCTTCAGGAAAAATCTGATGATTTAAAACAAGAAGGAAAACAAAGAAGATTCTTTGTGGTGCAAAAAGTAAACTTTCATTTATTTTCATTGTCGATTAATTAATCTTTTGGTCATTATGTTGTTTTGTCTGACCACAATTAGGTAAAAACAGAAAAGCAGCGACATTTGAAAACCTGGAACAAGAGAGCGGTTGGAGTTTAAGACGGTTCACAAATTATTTTATATTGATTATTAAAACATAAAAACATCTGAGAACGCTTGAGGAAAGCGTGCTCATTCTCACAGCTTATTGGCTGAAGAGGCCACAGGGCTCCTCCCCCTTGCTGCCTCTCCACCAATAAGATCTGAGCACTGGAAATATTCAGCAGAGGAGGTTCAGTCTGCCTCCTCCTCCCTTTACTCCTCTCACAGGCCAGAACTTTAAGACTGGAAGCAGGCGTATGGAGGTCTGTAACCAGGTAAATGCTCACCTGTCCTCTCAGGTAGACTCTGAGTTTGGGGAAAATGTTTGGTCCCTTTGGTTCACAACTGCAGCTGTTGTCAATTTTAAGCTTTAACTTCTCCACAAAGAGTGCACGCTCTCAGACATTCCCACCTGTAGCGCCGTTCACCGCGTCGTAAGGGAGATTTATTTCCCGTAAGCAGCTGGGACGCACAGACAGTCCGCGTTCAGACACAGAACAGCTTCAGACAGATGTATACAGTTAAAAACTCGTCTTAAAGTTCTGGCCTTTTAAAAGTCAAACAAAACAGAAACAGGTGAGAAAGCAGAAGGCAGAGTGAGCGGCGCCAAATAAACCAGGAAGTGAAGAAACCCGGAGACTAAGCAGCACACCGGCACAATCAATGTGACGTCCTAAAAGTAGGAGTGGTGAGTTTAGAGCTCGGGGACGTGAAATGAATTAACGGTTCCTTGTTTGGAGGCTTTAAAGACGGAGGAGGTTAAACGAACAGAAGCGTTTGTTTTACCCTGCGACTTTTCACACTGCTGAGGCTGAAACAAGCGCTCCCTCCTCGTCTATCTGAGCCGCCGGGCTGCGAGCACACACACAGATCGGCGTGATGATACTGCGGCTGGTTTCACACAGATACCGACGCCCAAAAACATATTGCTACCGTGAACGTACGATAAAACCACGGTGACGTTTTGGTGTAAAATCTGGCGCCGCAGAGCGTTTCCTGTGTGAGCGCAGCGGGCAGACAGAGAGAGGAATCATGGTAGGCACCGAGTCTGAACTGTTGAACTGAAAAACAACCTTTAATTACACACACACCACCACCGGTAGCACGACAGCAGCCGTTACCACGGAGACCAGTGGCCCGTTTCCATGGTTATATCAGAGACAAAACACGTTGGCTACGTGTCCCCCCCCCCGCCCACAAACAGGAAGCTGGAGAGGCGGGAGGGGCGTCGGTGAAATGTGGTGGCAGCAGGCTGGATGAGAAGTGTTTAAGGGGACGGGCAGGAGGAGGCGGGCAGCGAGGGGCGGCGGTGGATGCTATTGGTCCTTTTTCTCTGATTCTGATGAGTCCTCTTTAGCACCTTCCTCCTCAGGAGGAGTCTCCTCGTACCTGCAGAGGAAGAGGAGGAGAGAAACACATACATGACAAAGGTTTCCATATTCATCAATCAGCAGAACTTTATTCACGTCTGCATTATTGTTTGTATGTAAAGTGGTTCCATATTTATATAATGTTACAATGTGGGATGTTTATGTTAAACGAGGTAAACGTATGCAACAGTAATCAATAGCCGCCGTCGGCTCATCACTGATTTCTTTGTATGGATATCTGCTCCAGAAAGAGCACGACTGAGCACGCTCACAACGTACGGCTCTGCTCAGGAGTGCAGAAAGTGCTCGTTCTGTTCGTACGGCTCTCGACTCTCAGGGATTTACAGAGTTTACTGACGGACATTCACTTGTAGCTATTAGCTAACTGCTGCTAACAGACGGGGAGCTCCTGTACGAGAGATAAAACAGGAGGTTATGTGTCACTGGATTCCTTGATCAACCAAACTCCATTCAGAAAACAAGCATTTTAAGAGTCATTTGCTTGGACAGACCCAAAAAAGAAATATAAATCCAGACGTTTTACGAATCTGCATCATGATGTTATTTATTATCGTTATTATTTATTAGCAAAATCTGTTTATTTTGGGCTCATAGCACCGTTTTAAACTAGATTAAAAAAAAGGGTCAATATTCGCCGTGCGAGGTGGGAACACACCATAAGACTGTTCATCAGGAAACTCTGTAAGTCACTGAAAGTTTTAAAGTCATTAAATGTTCTGATAAACAGTGAATGAGCCCACGTACTGAAACTGTCATGCTGATGAGCAAATAAACAAAATGAAATAAACAATTAAATCAGAACTAAAGAAGCGTGATGGAGGCCGATGTGTTGTTGTTGTTGTTGTTGTTGTTTATCTGCTGACACACACAGCGACAGACGGACAGATGGATGAGCGCTGACAGCAGTTAACGGGCTGATTACCTGCCCAGGTGAGAGACAGGAGTGGGGGGAGGAGGGGGGCAGTAAAGAGAAAATGGGGGGCGGGGCCACTACATGTGGGGCGTGGGCTGTAACCGGCGGCGGCGGGGGGAGGAGGAGGAGCCTGTCGCCATAGAGACGGCATCCATGGAGCTAGCCAGGCTGGCGGGCGAGCCGCTGACGGTTGGGAAGGAAGTGAGCCTGGGAGAGCCAGGGAGGACTTCCTCTGACGACTCATAGCTAACCACGGCGGGAGGAGGGGGGAGGAAGGGGAGGAGGAGGAGGAGGAGGAGGAAGAGGAGGAGGAGGAAGGATGAGGAAGGGGAGGAGGAGGGAGGAGGACGAGGAGGAGGAAGGAGGAGCAAGGAGGAAGGGGAGACATGGCGGAGAAAATAAGAAAAAGAAAGGATGATGAAAATGAAAGGGGAGGAGAGAAAGAGAGAGAAAGAGAGAATAAGTTTTTTATCTTAAACTCTAAATGTTAAAAGCTACAGAGCGCTGAGGCTACAATATCAGAGAGACGAGAGGGAGGGAGGAGATAGGGAGGAGAGACGGAGGAGAGGGAGGAGAGAGGGAGGAGAGGGAGGAGAAAGGGAGGAGAGAGGGAGAAATGAGACAGAGGATGAGGAAGAAGACAGGAGGTAGTCAAAGGAGCAGAGGAAGGACTGAACAAGGTGCTGGAAAATGAAATGTCTGGAGGAGGAGGAGGAGGCTGTCACAGTGAGGAGGAGGATGGAGGGATGAGACAGACAGACAGACAGACAGACAGACAGGTCT